TCTATCGTATAGTAGTACCGAAACATAGATCGAAACGAAGAAGCGCTGAATCGTTCTATATTATAAACAAGAGTAGAGTTTACAAGCGGGCAAAAGTTAATTGAGAAACACTGACCTCAAAAGCCTCAATGATAATTTCATATAAACTCAAAAAATTTGATTTGAAGAATTTTCAGGGAACCTATGCAGAATATGTAGAACTTTAATTGCTTTGTAGATCAATGTGTCGGGGAACCAGACGAAGAAGATGGTTAAACTTTTTTTCCAACGCCCTTTTCTACCACCACAGTGCACACCAACGGAAGACGTCACATTGTCCTACTGTTAAAACTATGACTCCAGCGCAACTCTAAAGCGAAGAACATAGAAGTCACAGTAAGAAAGTAGAACTTAGACACAAAGAACGTTCTGCAGAAGAATGATGGGTATGACAAAAGAAAACCGCGTAAGCTCGATATAATGCAGAAAAGCAATAAAAATATTTATGGAAATGAAACCCATTCCGACTCAATATAAATTTCCTATTTATGGTCCCCCCCCCCCAAGTTCGAACTGAACTTGCAAGCAAAAATAAAGCAACTACGAATAATTAAATTTTAAACAAAGCAGCAACATACTTCGACCATTCCAAAATCGAACCATTTCTCCAGTTTCACCTGTTTGCTTTTCCTAAAACAATCAGGCAGTAACATCCTCATAATGAAATTTTGACTCACCGGATTGTTTTCTTGATGCATAATAAGGAACAGCAAACGTAAAACAAAGATAGAAAGCTGTCACATCCCTGTCTAACATTTGAGCTTCCTAAACATGCATCAAGAAAACAGTACGAAGAATTAAAGGCCAAGAATCAAGATGTCTTTCAAGGAAACCTGAAGCTTGCGCATTATGTTGTCTATATATTATCCTACGGTTAGTCCATCTAGGAATACGTGCACTGCATGCGCAAAAATACCACGGAATTGTGGCTTGTTCAAATGGTCTCACAGATGACTATAAGCAAAGGAGCAATGCGCTTCTGTGTCTAAACCCGGTATAAAAAATTGAAAACAAACTTGAAGCAGTTGATACGTGCAGAACGCTGCGTATCAGTTGCAGTCATGTGGTTTCAAGTATATTTTACACGTTAAGTTTACACCTTGCATTGATCTTCAGTCTGCCACCAGTTGGGCCAAGGTGAACTGCAGCAAGAAGGCACACGCATCGGACAACATAGCCATATATCTCTACACTTTGATACTACCACACCAAAGCACTATTTTGACGCTAATATTTACACGTCAGTGGTCTATCATCCGCTTTTTGGCTGGTTGTTCCAAAACAGAGTGAGGTCAAAAGAATCAGCACTTAATAAGAGAAAACGCATGCTGCAAGTAGGGCGTGAACCCGGCACATCGAAAGTGCAAAGCAAACTACTTGCCTACGACGCATCTGTCCTTTCTCCATTATAGTCAAATAGGAGGTTCGTCCTCGTCCATAATGCTTCTAGTAACCTGCCAAAAGTATATGTTTCGCCATACGTATCTTGAGGTTTGGTTTCTTGGTAACCGGTACAATCATACACCTTCAGCTGCTAACTGTCAGACACGCTTCGCTCACAAGGAAATAACTGTTTCTGAATTTTGCCTGAGGCAGAGATGCTGCATATTTAGTCGCACAAACAGTCTCTTGCACATCTTTGAGATCATAACCCTGTAAAGAAAGATTGCACGTAGCCTGAAGAAGGAATCGGTTGGAAAATTTTGGCCATGAAGAGATGGATAACTAAAGGAATCATACACTAAAAACACATCAAGCACGCAGTCCAACAACGCGGCTAGCACACACTTCTGTGAACAATCAGAGTATGGGTCATGGGATAATCGAAAAGACGATGTTTCAGACGCGCTGCACACTGAATGAAGGATCATACGTAATACGCCAAAGCACTCTTGTGTGATCCTTGATACTCATAGTAATTTGAATGTCAGACAACAGACAATCCTGTAATGATCACCCTAAATGAGAGGGACGGCAGGACCGCGTCAATATGTGAACACGCACATACTGAGGCAGAATATTTACCTTAATAAGAAGGCAATTGTGTCACAAATTTCTTCAGCTGGCAACTATCGCGATGCGGCTGCAACCGTACGAAGATGAGTGTCAAGAGAATGTACAAACCCTGCTTTACTTTGGAAGGAGTACAGACAAACCTTACGGTCTGACGACAATAATTTACAAATCACTAGCATGCAGCTGTGTATCAATGTTCGAGCGAAATTAACAAAAAATCACTTGCCTGTCAGTTATGCCGACCAGAATCAAATATTCGGTTATGTCTGACGAATCTAATCTAAAGCAAGGCGTGAGGTAGCGGTTCGCTTCGTAAGGATTTAATGGTCAAATCCGACTTACAGTTTGTTCCACTGCTCCTTGGTTTTTCTGCCGCGGAGATCAACGAGAAGGACGGACGGCATCAACGTGAGCAAAGACTCCATGAACTGCTCCTCGTCCGGTTTACACGTCCAGCACTGCCAGTTCGATGCCTGCAACGACTGTTCGACCTTCCCAATAAAAGGATCGCGAGTGTGCGTTACAAGCAAAGCCTAAAACGCAAAGCAAAGCGCTTTAGTGCACATGCTTACATGAATGAATCCAAAACGACGTACAGCTTAAAATGCACTTCAATAGAGGCATTTATGAATGACATGAAAAGTCGAAAAAAAAGATGCCGCCTGCCAATCAGAAACCACTGACAGATGTTTAATAATACTAAAGCTTATAGAACGTTGAAAGGTGTAATCTCGCAGGAATCAATCGAATAACTGCTTGTGTAATTCAACCCGGCAGGCAAGAAGCAATAAACCAATAATCGACTCGGACATAGCTCTAAACGCCTTCTGAGACAATTCTGTCGAAGAGATGGACAGTGACTACAGCCGCAGGTGGACAGATTGGTGGTTAGAGTTCTGGTAAATCCACAAAGAAAGCATGAAGTATTGCCCTTTGTCATGTTACCTGCGACAGAGCGGATGAAAACCTCGGAATTAGTGTGCATGGGGCCTCAAAAACACTGGATAAACAATGTCAAGGAAGGGAAAGCAAATTATACTCGTCTCCCCAGTTGGATGACTACTATTCAGAAACTTGTTCAAACCTGTACATCAGTTGCGCCCCCGGATTTATTCGGACAGAATCTAACTCTGTTTGAAATGATGGAACGAAAGTAACTGCTAACAAAACCATCATTTAGTATGAACAAGACGGAGAGTAGCGAAACACGCTTGAAAATACTTTAACGACTTTGTGCTATTTCCTATCTACCAACCACAAAGAAGGGTCATCTTTGGTACTAAGCTTAGGAGAGGGCACGGTGAACATCTTCACCATGCTATCAATGTCTGAGAAGACGTTAACGGTAACAAAATCAAAATTTTCCATCATTCTCCGTTGATGCTACAGATTCCTAAAGATAGTTCCAAAAACAAAATTTATGAAATCTCCACAGTAACAGAGCCGAGAGGTACTCATGCAAAACTGTTCTTGCTTATAACTGCAAACCCATGGTTATTTCTTTCAGTTCTTCTTTTTCAAGCCCTTCATGCTTCACCGACAAAATATAACTGGAGCTGGCAATAATACAGTAATATGCATGTAATTACATACATGCAAATGCAAATCTGTTCAATACCGCAGAAACAGTTAATGAGATAAATTAATTTCGATCAAAACGCCAGGTACCATGGGTTCAGTCCATGCTTTCGTTATTATGAACTAAAATATTACTTGAGTTGAGCTGAGTAAGAAGCAGAATAATTTTATAAGACAAATGTCCGGACGTACTCTTTTTCGAGGAGGGTTAAGCCAAAAAGCTCGAGAAAATGGTTTTCTTGCAGAATCCGTTGCTTGCGTTTCTTCGATGTCCTAAAAAATAAAGCCAAATTTAAAGACAGTAAATTGCTAGAGAACAATATGCACTGCTCTGGCAGAGTATCAAACGAAATACTTCTTTTCGACACTGATAAATAAAAGAGAAAAATGCCCATTAAACTGGCAGCATGCGTCTGATCTTGTCTAAAACGAAAAGCCTAGTGCCTTGTCGTCCTCCTGCCCGTCCCACATGAACAGATAAGCAGTGGAACAGAGGGAGAAGCTCATGTACTTTGAGGTCATGTTTGATGATGACGTAAAATAGGAGGAAAAGACCTACCACAACTTGGAATGGCCGGCGGCGTTCGGCGTGATCTAGCTCGAACCGTTCGGATTAAAGCAGCGATGAGTGTGAAGA